GTAAACGGTCCGTGTTATAACCACCACGGCACCACGGGTTTCTGCTTTATTGTTTGCATACAAAGTACACACTAGGATTTGTTTATAAACAAGACCCACTGCACTTTTTGTATTCCCTATTATATAAAATATAATCTAATTTGTCCTCTGAAGAGTACACTATATTATTGTCACTCAGCCAAGTAAAGCTCTCTGGTGTATTAAACAACAGTCTAGAAGACAGTGTAGTAACCAAGGCCACACACTTGCCAGTGTATTGTATATTATCTACTCTACACTCACTACTCTACACTCTAGCTTCAGTACAGAAAATATCATCATCCGGTGGTACACTCCCCTAATTACTGCACTATAGCTGGATCTATGCCATTAGCTGCTGCCAGCTGCAGGGAATATTGTATAATCACAACTGATCAGCTGGTTTACATTCTCCTCCAGATCTTCCAGCTGTGTCAGCTTGTTTCTCTTTGTTTCTCTTTGGCTTTGTGTGTCTGAGTTGGTCTCCGTTTGTTTAGGATGTCTCACGTTTCATGGTACCTGCAACTTGCTATTACTAAGCAAGGTTTCTAAATTCTTCTCTTATAGGGGTTTTAAGATTTAGCCGAATGATTCAGGGTTAAATTTTTCATTCTGATATACTCTAGTTATAGTTGTTTCAGTTTGTTTCACTTTGTTTCAGTTTGACTTGCGTTTCATGGTACCTGATACTTCTCATCTTGCTATGTTTCTAGGGTTTCTAAATGATATCTTTTTGCGCGTTAAAAGACATAGCCGCATGACACTTGGTTCCATCGGCTTATTTTCTGGCTTCGCTTCAAATACCGCAGAATTGTAGTTAACAGTTCGTGCTTCTAGAGAGTATTTATCCTCGCACCGTGTTAAAAATGTGACTGCAGTATTAAATTAACTGTTCATGTTTCATTGTAAGGGATCAGGAAACTTTGAAGATTCAAATTTAACATCAAGTTTCAACATTCAATTGAAGTGGACAAAGAATGTGGCTATACAATTACAATATTTTAAAGCTTACCTAGTCATTATCCAACCAGGCTGCTGAAATACGAGTATTTCTCTTACAGTAGAAACTCTCATTTGCTTCGCCGGTTCATCACAATTTTGTTATGTGTTATTATATTCTCGTTACGTTCTGTTAAAGTTTTAAAATTGTTCCGCGTCATGTGCTGGTGATTCATTACTAACTCGCAGTTGTAGAAGTACAATGTTTCACAACAAGGGTAGGAAGTTTTCATACATTAAAGTACATTCTTCAATTATGTAAAATCACAAAGCATGTACCATGTACTATGTCTGGAAGCTCGGTCAATTACCGAACATTTCTCTGAAATTGGAGTGTTTTACTTACAGTGCGATATACTCACATTTCACATTTCCGATATAACATCACAATCTTGTTAATTTATTTTAAAGTTTTAAAGTTCCTTCGTCATGTGCCTAATTATCTACAGTGTTACATTTCAGTAGGAATAAGATGTCAAGTTTTGCACAGTGAAGAATCACTTTAACCGCCAACACTGTGAATATGTCAATGTGAGAATATGTTAAAACACTGAAACTTTTACTCTTTAGTCAAGTTTTGGAGTGTTAATGGCTGTGAATACTGAATAGTGTAAATATTTCTCATAATCCGCTCGTCTAGTAATTCTCCTAATAACTTAGACCATGTCATGTCTGCAAATATATTTGGGTGTTTACTGTTTATTGAATATATTCGGTCTAAATCGAACATAATTTAACCTCACACTAGACAAGGTTTTCTTTAAACTTGTTCGAGTTAACAGTTTTTACAGTTTACATCACATGGTCCCAGTGATTGACATGTCACTCTATTATTGTTATTATCAGCCTTCTGCTTTACGCCTGATTGTCGAGTTAGTGCGTGTTTATATTGACTCCAGACGCTGTGATGAAAGGTATTTTAATCTATTATATTAACTCTATATATGCATATATACTATGTAATATGTATATATTATTAAGCTGTAGTAGACCTAAAGAGACAAACTTCAATAGAGTAAAATATTATATATTATATACTCTATTCAAGTCTGTGTCTCTAGGTCTACTGTACCTTTACGTAGTGTACAGCCCTTGTGTATATTATTCCTGGTATATATTCCTTTATTCCTGGTATATACTCCTTTATACTTGGTGTATATTCCTTTATTCCTGGTATATATTCCTTTATTCCTGGTATATATTCCTTTATTCCTGGTATATATTCCTTTATTCCTGGTATATATTCCTTACTCCCGAGTGTCTCTGTCGCTTCGTTATTAGAACGTTTCCCCACCAGTCATGTATTGTTCTGGTTCTGACTTCTGTAAGATAAGAGCGATCCTGGTACAAAGGTATAGTCCATATTATTGGTTCTAGAATCTAGACGTCTAGCTAACTATATGCTGTACTTTGCGGTATTATTTATTATCGGTAATGGACTCTGTACCGTTTGTAGTCAATAACAACCCTGCACGAGGTAATGAGGTAATCATTAGTCTTCTGTGTCTCTACTCAGATGCTGTAAACAGGTATATGGTCTCGTTACGCACTACTCAGACCCACGTAATACTGTGTTGTCCTGGTATATTGTCCAGAATATACCCGAACTTAATATTTTGTATAGTTCTGGTGTATTCATGAGTTTTTCTGCTGATCGGTTACCAGCGCCATTTCTCCCGCCAGATCGAGATAATGATTAGGTAAACGTAGCATAAACCAAGTAAAACATCCATAACTAATGGACACAGCAACTGGCCATTACTCACGATTACTCACACATTACTCACGATTACTCACACATTACTCACGATTACTCACACATTACTCACACATTACTCACACATTACTCACACATTACTCACACATTACTCACGATTACTTATCTTACAGAACACTACATATTGTCACTACAATGACTACTCACAATAGCTTACAGAACACAACATATGGTCACTACAATGACTACTCACAATAGTTCTGCCACGAGTTGACAAACATTCCCAGGTAGTAGTTATATTCGTTATCGTCTGTCAACCCACCCTCTCATCACTGCCAGCTGTTGGTCGTCTACTGTAATTATACCTTGTTGTTGTGTTATATGTCTGAAAACTGAAAACAAGCAGGGATACTTGATGATCTGTTCAGTACTTTTGGTGTAGAACGTGAGAAATATCTGAAACTGCTGTTTTAGAACACTGCTGATCAGGGTGTTAGTTGTAGTTTTGCGTATCTGAAACACGTTGTGAGCTGTCGTTTTACGTATCTAAAACAGGTTGTGAGCTGTCGTTTTACGTATCTAAAACACGTTGTGAGCTGTCGTTTGCGTATCTAAAACACGTTGTGAGTTGTCGTTTTACGTATCTAAAACACCTTGTGAGCTGTCGTTTTGCGTATCTAAAACAGGTTGTGAGCTGTCGTTTTGCGTATCTGAAACACGTTGTGAGCTGTCGTTTTACGTATCTGAAACAGGTTGTGAGCTGTCGTTTTGCGTATCTAAAACACGTTGTGAGCTGTCGTTTTACGTATCTGAAACACGTTGTGAGCTGTCGTTTTGCGTATCTGAAACAGGTTGTGAGCTGTCGTTTTGCGTATCTAAAACACGTTGTGAGCTGTCGTTTTACGTATCTGAAACACGTTGTGAGCTGTCGTTTTACGTATCTAAAACAGGTTGTGAGCTGTCGTTTTACGTATCTGAAACACGTTGTGAGCTGTCGTTTGCGTATCTAAAACACGTTGTGAGCTGCCGTTTTGCGTATCTAAAACACGTTGTGAGCTGTCGTTTTACGTATCTGAAACACGTTGTGAGCTGTCGTTTTGCGTATCTAAAACACGTTGTGAGCTGTCGTTTTACGTATCTGAAACACGTTGTGAGCTGTCGTTTTACGTATCTAAAACACGTTGTGAGCTGCCGTTTTGCGTATCTAAAACACGTTGTGAGCTGTCGTTTTACGTATCTAAAACAGGTTGTGAGCTGTCGTTTTACGTATCTGAAACACGTTGTGAGCTGTCGTTTTACGTATCTGAAACACGTTGTGAGCTGTCGTTTTACGTATCTAAAACACGTTGTGAGCTGCCATTTTTGTGGGGATCCAGTTTGTTTAGTCGAGTCATTAGACCACAACCCAGCAGCTCATGCAGGATACAACTGAAGTGTACTGTAGATTGGGAGGTGGTAACAGACTACTGCTGATGACAGAGAGTGAGCAGAGAGCTCGGTCCGTCCTGCACTTCACCACAAATTAATGAGCTTTAACTGGCCTTTAACTGGGTGTTAACGACCCTGTTTAACCTTAGTAAACTCGTCTCAATACTCTCATTTCTCCACTTCAGTTCACATTGAGTTGACCGCAAGTATGAGACCCCACAGTTCTCAATCTTAATTAGAACGTTAGCGCGTGTTTGAGTTCAGGATTGTGAAGAGCTCTCTCCTGCAACCCTACACCTAATCTAACACTCTAACATCCACCTAGTACAATACAATACACACACCAGCCCATGACGATAGTATCACGTATTATAGCAGCATGTGCCCAGTATTAGCTGCAGTCTTTTAGTGATTCTCCTCTCATGACTGCATTAATATGTTGTTGGGCGGTGCTGTTGGCAGGCCTTTTACTCCTTATCTCTTTATCTTTTGTTGTCTGGTGTTATCTCAGTAAAGTGACTGGTTTGTAACGAATTGTGGGTTTGAATATTCATTATCTATCTAGAGACTTCGTCGTGAGCTATGACTTAGGAGTGATGATTTAAATCGTGTGGATTTACTACGGCTTTATACGTATAATGTTTATATTACTTAATTGAGCTTCTTCTACTTGAAGATTTTTCAGGTGAAATTGGCGACTGAGATCTTTCATTAATTTCATTAATCTGATCTAAAAATATCCGACAAAATGTTAAACATATCTGATAATATATAATAATATATATGATAATATATAATAAAAATGTTAAACATATAATCTGATAATTTCTCATTATTTAGAAGAGGGTATGTTAGGGAGATTTTGTTTCAGTCTATTGGTGTTACAAACCCTCTGCTATCTACAAGGTAAGTCAAGCAGCGCACAATCCAACGTGCAGCGCTGCCACAAGCAACCGCTTTGGATTTGTCAAGCTTTGGCAGTTTGGCCGCGTGGTGTTTTGAGTGATTATTTTATCTGGGTTTTTCACTTTGCTGTTGGCAATTCTACGGCAAAAAGCCACGTTTACTTTAAAATTGATTTGTAGCACTTTCATTATTCTATCCAGTGACTACAGTTTTCTTTTAAAGCCTACAAAATCCCTATAGTTTCAGCTCAAAATGACCCCGAAACATCCGTTGAGGATGAAGAAATTGCCGAAATTGGTGATCCACCACTCCTAAATAACTTTAATGATATATCGGTCCCTTTAGTGCCAGGTATAGCATCAGTATAGGAACAGTATGTTTAACACAGTATTAAAACCGCACTTGTTATCTATGATACCGGCTGTTTGCTGCATGAACATTGAACTGCAACTCATGAAACGTGGGAAATATATCCTGGTCGATGAAATGTACGGTGGAATTGTCCCCAATATATTTTTTGGAATAATCTTGTCTGATCTGAAGTTTTTTGTTTTTGAAATTGTCTTGTTTCAATGTTTGGCATGATGATCAACTGTGATTCATGTTATAGACTCGAGATTTTTATAGTATCTTTGTTCTCTATTCTTTACCTGCATGAATGCACGAAATACTTGATTTGCTAGCTACCCTTTTCTTGATTTATCGAGTGTTTTATCTCCAGAAAATGCCTCTTTTATTATATGTACGACGAACAATAATTGTACGTACATTATAAATGTACAATTATTGTACGTACATTATAAACGTACAATTATTGTACGTTGAAGAATCTTTCTGATTTCAATCTACTCTCGGTATCCATATATAGCACATTAAATAAGTTAAACCTGGTAACCTGGTAACCTGGTAACCTGGTAACCTGGTAACCTGGTAACCTGGTAACCTGGTAACCTGGTAACATGGTAACATGGTAATCTACTCTCGGTATCCATATATAGCACATTAAATAAGTTAAAAGACTTTTAATTGTTGCATATTCTGTGTACCCAAATCAAATGATTTGCATGATGAAACTTTACTCCCAAAATAATAATTTTATGATTAATCCTTATATAGCATGTAATACGTTTATCATTATCAATAGTAGTGAAATATTTTAAGGTTTTCAAAAATATCGCTATTTTCCACGGGGTCCGGACTCTAAGGCGTGAGAGTCTCATGCCGTTAAGAGTTTCGGACCTCAATATTATTCAAAATATGTATTATTTGTTCTACAATCATTAAGCGAACATTCAAAAGTAAATGTTATATTTCACCGAATGATCACCATGACCACCTGCACGTCATAAAGGCATAAAATAATCACCACCTATACAGCATCCTAACAGTACCACCACACTTTCAGTTGAGTTCGAAATCGCCAGAGCGGGGTATATTCCCTCTGAGGTGCTTGTAGCCCAGGGGAGGGCTGAACTGCACTGTGAGGGAGCCAAGGAGATTAAAAGCAGGATATTCTGGACCAAGAATGGGGTCAGGCAAGAAAATGCACAGTTCTATGATGTAGACACGGAGTCTACAGTTACCAGTGTTTACAAGGTGGGATTTGTGTTTCAACTTTCAAGTACTGATTTTTGACCTTTCCGGGCATAATGGGTCATGTGCTGTAGATTGTAGAATAAAGCTGCGATTCTTTGTTTAGTGCAGATTTCGATGATCGCACAATATTATCAACAAATGATCTGGAAAATGTCCCTTAGCTTGTGGACGCAGACGAAGCAAGATACGGTTGTAACGGACAATACTTATACCTGGTGAAGGAAAGGCCTGAGGAGGAAGCACAGGAAGCATCCATCTGGCAGAACAGCAAAGTAATCTGCATCGACAAAGTTGTGAGTTACACGTTCACTTCACTTTATAGCTTATTGTTACTCTTAATCTTTCATATTAAGTGTTGGTTTGTCAATCTGGGGTTACAAAACTCAGATTTCAAAGACAGTCATAATTTCGTGTTATTTTTAATCACACTCTTTGTTTTTCCAGGTAAGGGAAGAAACTAAAATATTGGAGAAAATGACAGGACCTTACAAAAGTTCCATATTCTACATGGTCGGCCGACAGCAGGCCATATATCCAATCAAAGAAAGAAAGGTTAGTTTCATCTCGAGTGTTAAACAGCCTCCCTAACAAGAAATATTGTAAAAATGTCGGTCCTTACACCTTACCAAAATATAATATATATATACCATAGTTCTAGTAACGGGTGTCAAGGTTGGAAATATGTTTCCAGGTGTACCATAACACTAACACATTAACACATAACACACACTAACACATTAACACTAACACATTAACACTAACACATTAACACTAACACATTAACACTAACACATTAACACATAACACAGAACACTATAACACTACTAACCATAGCATCCCCCTTAGATAACTGCAGATTCTGTCTTCATGTGTAACAACACGAACCACTTTACTTTCATCTCGGAGACACGACCACAGACCACCGTAGAGTAAGTAGTAGTTACCATGTTAACAGTTGCTAGGGTAGCAGTTGCTAGGGTAGCAGTAGAGTAAGTAGCTGTAACAACTCTTTATTATTCGTGATTATACTCTTGACTACCATATTAGTCACCTTGATATTCTCTATTACTTTCAATTACTTTTAACAACCCCTAAATGCTTAATACTACTATTTACAACTCGTAATAACTACTCACGATTACTCTCGCAAACACTCTTAAGTACCATAGCATGTACCAGAGAGTGTACCATAGCGTGTACCATAGTGTGTACCATAGAGTGTGCCATATCGTGTACCAGAGAGTATACCATATAGAGTACCTTTAATAAAGTTGTGCCCGCTGATAACTTAACAAGCATTCTGTGCCAGGTTCAAGGGAAAGAAGGTGGTCTGCACCAACTCAGACACGCAAGGAAGATGCGCACTCACTATCTTCTTTAAAGATAAGAAAGTTGCTGAAGGTCTTTCCCCCGTACTTGAACATCCGTATGGAAAGGTGGGTAAAGATAAGGAGATTATAATTAGTGATGATGTTTTAATTAATTCGGAGTGATTTAATGTAGATAGGTATTAGCAAATTATTAGGTACTAGGTACATGTAGATCCGGACTAATTGTGTTAAGTGCCACGAGGGTGACATATTTCATATCATTAATTATTATTAATAATCAGTAGCGTAAGCTCACCAGAACTGTTTTACAGATAAACATCCAACAAGTACGATGTGAAGCAGCCTGTCAAATCGGAGAAGATTTCATAACCCTACCAGTCACAGACATGGAGATCAACAGAACCCTCTACATAATGGTGATCTTCTGTATCATCCTCATCATCCTCATCATCATCATCATTCTTTGCTGTGTCCTTTGGCACAAGTTCGGATTCAAAGAAAAGTACGGCTATCAGATCAACATGCGGTTGAAAAAGAACTTTGCGGTAGATACCAACAAGCTGAGCAGTTACCGGTTATCAGGTGTGCAGGCGGATGTTCCTATTGAAGAGGTAGATGGTGATGATGCTGATGTCAAGGAGTTTAGAGATATGGACGAAGGCAGCCTGGATGACAGCTTCGTCGACCCCAACTTCGCCCGCACCAACAATAAGATAGATATGAGGAGCAAAGATGATATATCCTCGAGTGGAGCCTCCAATAACTATAATCAGAAACCATTCCTTAGGATATAGAACATTCTGGAACTAGATATTATCAGCTCTTTTCCGACACATGTTCGCTTGATCCCACGCTGCTTGTTTGTTGAGTTTGTCCGTACTGTGATGATCAACTTTGATATCAGAGAACTGGACATTGTGATGCCTATATCAGCATGCTTGAAACTGAAATGAACCGAATGAAATAGGAGAATGATTTATTTAAGAATAATATGTAATAGTCAGGTGTATCTTGAGTTGAGATCAAGATTGGACGAAATACAGCTGGCCATCAGTGCTCGGATGTTTAATTATTGATGTTCAATGTTCTTTTCGACGTTTCTATGACCTCATCCATTTGTTCAACAGTGGATTTTATCAGATAGTTCGGTTAATGCATTAAATCACACAAATCTTTGGGGCAGGGTAGGGTGGGAAATAAAATGGAAATGATATGGGACTGCAGCAGTTCGATGATAATTTTTAATCAAATAAGATTGATTGCTCATAGTATTAAGCTGAATGTTTTAATCTATTTTTTTTTCTTTTGAAATTTTAATCTTGTTTTTAAATTTAAAGTGAAGGTTCATGGTTTCCCCCAACACAACCCCTTAGTTACCTTATTCGGAGAGTAGTTAATTTTAAATTCCTATTATAACTAGCGTAGAATAATATATCATTACAATGTGTACATTAGATAATATTCTGGAAATATTATTCAAGTCACGATCCCACCAGTGAAGCTTTTTAAGTGCTAATTGACTACATAGTAAATTTTATATTTTACGCAATTTTAATGTGGACTATATTTATACTGAACATTTATTTTACTACAAAAACTATTGTGGTTTCATTTCTCATAGTATCGATAAAACTTACAACTCACGACCAATGAAATTCCGTATAATCCGAATGAATGGCGAATGGCGATGACACCTCTTATATGCAAATGACACCGGAATTCGACGTTTTACTGTAGATTAAGTTACCTCCACAAACAGCCATTATCACAAATCTGTTTAATCTTTTCCATGCTATTTTAAGCTTCATCATTTAACCTAGTTTTCCTGCCTTCTTGCACTTACAGTTCTCTTATTTAATTCTACTATGAAGTAACACACAATGTCAAAGATGCCACTTTTAGCTTAACGTAATTAATTTACAACTCTGCCGTAGATGTGGGTAATGGTTGGAAAGTTACGTAAATGACTCATTCGTAAGGGAGGAAACTTAACGTCAACACCCATCATATCAACGTGTACAATTCAGATTTAATTAAAGATTTGACCTTAGTAAAGTCCACATGTTATTATTATATTAAGTCGCATATTATGTTACACTTAAAATTGAATACTTAAAGTTGTATACTTTACAGTTGTACCTTAAAGCTGTATACTTTACAGTTTTATACTTTCAGTTTATACTTTACAGTTCTATACTTACAGTAATTCTATTTATTTGATAAGTTCTATTTCGGAGTACAATAGATAGGATTCTTTCGGCCGTATTAGGATCGGTATGTTTAGTATGTTCGTTGTACATACTCAATTTGGCATGACACTTACTTTGCATGATGATATGATCTGTGGAGACACTGTCAGGAACAATATCCGGGTTTGCGGTGGTTCGTGACTTTCTCCGTATCATTAGAAATTCATTCCTAATTCACACACTCCTGCCTAAGCTTACATCATCAAGTTTGGGACACTCTTTGACTCTTATTCTTCTTCCTTGTCATAAGTATATATTACTCGTCTGCAGCTCGTCATATTGTATACCATGGTGCCGGCTCAACTGTTCTCTCTGTGCTTTGTGCCGTAGCTTTACGTAAAGTTAAAGTGAGTGATTGAGATCACAAATCACATTTACATTTTAAGATACCTGTACTGTTAGGGTGCCTGGCAGAACAGGGTCCAACTTTATGGGGCTAAAAATAACTTCCTAGAGTATTACAAACTATCTTACATTCAATGAGGCTAAGAACCTACCCAGCTAAATTTAATTAATGGCCAGCTGAATAGAAAATGTGTTCGTAATGATATGTGTATTGAATGATAGTCAACGTTGAACTTTTGCTGATGTTGTGTTGATAAACAGAAACTTCTGTGATCCAGGATAGGTCATTGTACCGATTAGGCTTACAAGGGCTCGCACTCACGACTACTGTAATCCAATAACTTACATTTTTCTTTGAACTCTTTGCCTCTGCCGGATCGGTTAACACAACTTTGTACCCTTTTTAGTGACCGCTTATCTTGACCACATGCGGATTGTTCTCCTCCTTCACGTGTTGCTCTTACTACTGGAAGTAAGGGGAGACGGGGGAGAGGTTCCTACAACTCCTTCTGAATTTGGGGTGATCACAAATCCTTTGTCCTCAGAGGCGTCCTTTGACGACATTCCCAGTGAAGGGCCCTATGTTATCCAGGCTTTACCTGATCCTGCACCTGATCCTTTACCTGATTCTGGACCCGAAGAGACTGTAGCAGGTGAAAGTGAAACAGGTGGTGAAAGTGCAGATGTTGAGACAGGTGGTGAAAGTACAGATGTTGAGACTGGTTATAGTACAGATGTGGAGACAGGTGGTGAAAGTACAGATGTTGAGACAGGTGGTGAAAGTACAGATGTTGAGACAGATGGTGCAGAAAGTACAGATATTGAGTCATATGGTGAAAGTACAGATGTCAAGCCAGATGGTGAAACTGCAGACGATGAAAGTGCAGAAGGGGATTTAGAAGATTCATTTACCGAAGACGAAACACTACCAGACATCCCAGAGGGTGACGTTAGTGAACCTGAGGTGGATGATGCACCAGCTGAAGAAGACGAGATAGAGGAGGAGGAAAAGAAGGAGGAGATCCCCGACCAAGATAAAGAAGCACCAGCGTCCTCCAAACTAGGGAAGGAAGATGAAGATGGTTTTATAGAGGAAGATGTAGAAGTTGAAAAGATTGACGACGCTAACCGACCCAGGCCGATGGTAAACACTGAGGACAAGACGACAGGACCTTTTGAGGAAGGGACTGAGAGTGATAATGTTGCAAAGGTTCCAATAGTGGTAGAAGAAGAGGCTGTAAATGTAGCAGAGCTTGTGCTTACGTAGGTGTTATACATTATATCGTATTCGTATTGTGTTTAATCTTTCCGTCAATTGTAGAAAATTGTAAATAGTGCCACGACATAACTGGATTCCCATTATCTTTGGAAGAGCTGATGATTATAATAATGGTGATGTTATTCTCCAATAATTACAATTATTGCAGGAATACCGGCGGATTGATAATTTGCCACGTGGAGGCGGACCCGCTTATCTATACTTCGTGTAACATGAGTGTATGGGTAAATGGTTTAGAGAACTCTACTACCATCAATGTTTACCAGACTTCAACACTCATTGTGAGTACTCGCTGTGACTAGGAGGTTTTTGTGACGATTTAATAGGATAATGGAATTGAAAATTTCGGGGTTTTGAAATTAACTGTGGACTTGTTTCTAATTCTATAACTCGTTGCAGCGATTTGCTAAATTAATTGATGGCTACCGCGCCAACTTTATGGAAATACAAGAATGTTTCGCTAGTGTGTTGTCAATAACCAATTTAGTTGTTGTCATGTGACTTAAAAGTGGTCAATAACTGTGTTCTATTCCAGGAATTACCGTTAGCTTTACTCTAGAAAACTGCTCCGTGACCTTATTGACACTCAGCACTCTAGTGTTAATTAATCGGGTAGTAGCTCCAGGTTTGCACGGTATAAGCACAACTCCCGTTAATAATACAGAGCTTGCTGAGTCAGGGTGTCGGTTATTGAATGTATAGATTGTAATTGCATGCTCGTAGACCAATATAGGGCGTGTAGTGACGGTGACCATGCTCATAATACGAAAATTTAGTGCCTAAAAAAGGTGTATTATTACATCTAGTGTTCTCATTTGAAGTTGACCTCTAAGATCGTAAGGTGTTGAAATCTGTGGCTGAAATCTGCGGCAAGTTTACAAAGAGGATGTAATTCCTCTCTTATATAATAGAGTTAAACATTAACCCCTGCTTTATTCAGCTGGAAACAGACTCGGTAAAGTGCAAAGCCTCCTGCTCCTCAGCAACCGGTCCAGTAACCATGACAGCGAAACACGCCCCTAGCAACATATTCACACTGCCCATCATGATCTTGATTGGTATTGGTGGGCTGGTGGTAATCACCACGATTCTCATATTAATACACTTTATAAAGAAGAGTAGGAGAAAGGAGAAAGGCTACCATTTCCCACTGAATGACAACACTGTTGAGGCGTACAATCTGGAGGAGGAAGTAAAACCGGCTGCAAGTTTGAACGGAACTCAGGTGGTAGTCAGTGACTCGTACAATCTGGTGGACGGTTGAATACGTGGGTTTGTTGTCCGTCTTTCAGGATATTTCGAAGAATTGAACACAGATTTAGATATGCGTTTTAGACGAATATTTACCGAAAATATGTCAGATCGAATTATTTCGATAATGTCAGGTGCTGGATAATGTAAGGTCAGGTAGATGATACTGATACTGACCGATTATTCGAGGACCCTATAAAATTTGTTAACTTTGAATTTAAAATGTCGGGTATTGTTTGTGCCGGAAGAGAATTGAAATATGTATCTACGAATTGTATCCGATCTTTGAATCTCTTTTAACGATCCCAATTTTGTTCTTGAGTGTTTTGTTATTGATTTTGGTAATGGGTTATAGATGTTAAGATGTGTGTTGTAGTTTTTAAATAAATTAATTTTGTTTTTTTAAAAGCATTTGCTCATTATCAAAATCGACTCATTGTTGAACTTGTAAATCAAACAACTACAATAAAAACCAGATGCATAATACATTATTTTAAATAAAATATGACTCAATTATCTAAGAACCATACAATAGAAATAGGACGGTCAAAAACTTGATGATCTGCAATGCTTTTTCGTTAATTGCTTTTGACATTGTGCGAAAGAGTGTAGCAAACAATTTAGCAGTGATTCATTTATGATTTATGGGAGGATTTCAAATCCACGAAAAAGTGCGGGACTATTTTATACGTAAGAATGAATGTTTCCCTTAAAATGAATAAAACATCTCGCAAACCTAGAGAAATTTCCCGGTTTTCTAAGAAAGGGAGAAGAGATAATAATTAATACCCAAGGCATACAATTATAATTTAACAGCATGCAAACTGGTCAAAAATGACAAAATTACAAACAATAACAGGGAGGAGTGTTTCTGAAATATATCCCAAATGGTTAATGCCGTGTGAGGGTCAAGTTTCCGTGAGTGAATTCTGCACGGGTCAGTACAGCGAAAATGGGACGGCTTTAAATCATTTAAATAAAATACAGAAGATTATATCCAAAATATTCTTAATCTGTAGATAAATTCCCCCATGTTCTCCCCGAGGAGTCTTGTACAGGGTCAGAGTACAGTGTGAACATGGCCTGTAAGCATTGGTGATCCGAACCAAGGATTGCGTTAGGTAATCTTCCCATGTTAGAGAGTTCTGGTTTCGTTAGCAACCGCCTTTTTGATTTCAGTATTAGCAAGGGTGAGCTGAAATTAGGTCGGTTACTTAAAAGTTAAAACATTAACATTTGAGTACTTTTTACATAAAATGCTACCAAGTAAGACAGGAAATTAGACGCGCGCGCGTACGTACGTGAGCTTTGTAATGTCAATGAAAAGTTACCAGAGAAATTGTCTTCGCGCGCTACAGTTTAGTATGGATATTTCTGGCACCAACAGAGAAAATGCCGCGTTTTACTCTGAAGCTAGACCATAGACAATACGGAGAACAGTCTGAACAGGCGCCCGACCAAATAACAATTTCTGTTGTCTCATCGCTTATCTTAACAACGTATCCTATCAAAAGTTACATAGAGAAATTTAACAAAATCAGTAACAAGGCGCTCCCATTTTCATCTACGATTGGCTTGAGACTAATGTTTTTAACGTCAACCGATGTGCCTAGATTAGTGACAGTTAACAACCTGTGTCGAAGTTAAACAACTATAAATTAATTATCCGTGAATTATTTAATCACTTAAATAAGTTGTTAACCTGCAGTAAGAATCACAAGAATGTCCGTGAGCGCAGTTCTGGGGGGTGTTGTCATGGTTACTGTACCAGATGTAGTCGACTGTTCTAGAATCGTTCTGTATGTACGTGGTTACTTCTTTCGTGCGGCCATCACAATCTATGTGATCGTAGGCAGATCTGGGAAAATTATTCTAAATTTAGACAGTGAAATTTTACATCCAGATGAAAAGAACGTGGCAGTACGATTTTATCAATTTTATCGATTAAAATTAATTTGTATTTCAAAGAATACATTTATTCAGAATGTAAGAAAAATTACCTAAAATTAATGTTATGAGATATGGATCCACTCTTGTAAGGATACAAATCACTGCACTTTGAACATTGCAAGTCTCTGTACGCTGAAATTAGATAGTGGACATTATTACCTCAGATGATAATAAGTATGCTAAGTATGTAATATATAGTGTGCATTTGTATCTTAGAGTACTCGAGGTTGAACAGGAATTCAAAAAATTACACAAGGCGTTATCATCAGTCCAAGGAAAAATTAATTTCCATAAAAAATGTTTAATTAAGAAGTGAAAATACCTTGTGAAACATAAGAGCTACCCTGAGTAAGAAGTGAAAATACCTTGTGAAACATAAGAGCTATCCTGAGTAAGAAGTTAAAATACCTTGTGAAACATAAGAGCTACCCTGAGTAAGAAGTGAAAATACCTTGTGAAACATAAGAGCTACCCTGAGTAAGAAGTTAAAATACCTTGTGAAACATAAGAGCTACCCTGGGTAAGAAGTGAAAATACCTTGTGAAACATAAGAGCTACCCTGAGTAAGAAGTTAAAATACCTTGTGAAACATAAGAGCTACCCTGAGTAAGAAGTTAAAATACCTTGTGAAACATAAGAGCTACCCTGAGTAAGAAGTGAAAATACCTTGTGAAACATAAGAGCTACCCTGGATAAGAAGTGAAAATACCTTGTGAAACATAAGAGCTACCCTGAGTAAGAAGTGAAAATACCTTGTGAAACATAAGAGCTACCCTGGGTAAGAAGTTAAAATACCTTGTGAAACATAAGAGCTACCCTGAGTAAGAAGTTAAAATACCTTGTGAAACATAAGAGCTACCCTGGATAAGAAGTGAAAATACCTTGTGAAACATAAGAGCTACCCTGAGTAAGAAGTTAAAATACCTTGTGAAACATAAGAGCTACCCTGAGTAAGAAGTGAAAATACCTTGTGAAACATAAGAGCTACCCTGGATAAGAAGTGAAAATACCTTGTGAAACATAAGAGCTACCCTGAGTAAGAAGTGAAAATACCTTGTGAAACAAAAGAGCTACCCTGGGTAAAAAGTTAAAATACCTTGTGAAACATAAGAGCTACCCTGGGTAAGAAGTGAAAATACCTTGTGAAACATAAGAGCTACCCTGAGTAAGAAGTGAAAATACCTTGTGAAACATAAGAGCTACCCTGAGTAAGAAGTGAAAATACCTTGTGAAACATAAGAGCTACCCTGAGTAAGAAGTGAAAATACCTTGTGAAACATAAGAGCTACCCTGAGTAAGAAGTTAAAATACCTTGTGAAACATAAGAGCTACCCTGAGTAAGAAGTGAAAATACCTTGTGAAACATAAGAGCTACCCTGAGTAAGAAGTGAAAATACCTTGTGAAACATAAGAGCTACCCTGAGTAAGAAGTGAAAATACCTTGTGAAACATAAGAGCTACCCTGAGTAAGAAGTGAAAATACCTTGTGAAACATAAGAGCTACCCTGAGTAAGAAGTGAAAATACCTTGTGAAACATAAGAGCTACCCTGAGTAAGAAGTGAAAATACCTTGTGAAACATAAGAGCTACCCTGAGTAAGAAGTGAAAATACCTTGTGAAACATAAGAGCTACCCTGGGTAAGAAGTGAAAATACCTTGTGAAACATAAGAGCTACCCTGAGTAAGAAGTGAAAATACCTTGTGAAACATAAGAGCTACCCTGAGTAAGAAGTGAAAATACCTTGTGAAACATAAGAGCTACCCTGAGTAAGAAGTGAAAATACCTTGTGAAACATAAGAGCTACCCTGAGTAAGAAGTGAAAATACCTTGTGAAACATAAGAGCTACCCTGAGTAAGAAGTGAAAATACCTTGTGAAACATAAGAGCTACCCTGAGTAAGAAGTGAAAATACCTTGTGAAACATAAGAGCTACCCTGAGTAAGAAGTGAAAATACCTTGTGAAACATAAGAGCTACCCTGAGTAAGAAGTGAAAATACCTTGTGAAACATAAGAGCTACCCTGAGTAAGAAGTGAAAATACCTTGTGAAACATAAGAGCTACCCTGAGTAAGAAGTGAAAATACCTTGTGAAACATAAGAGCTACCCTGGGTAAGAAGTGAAAATACCTTGTGAAACATAAGAGCTACCCTGAGTAAGAAGTTAAAATACCTTGTGAAACATAAGAGCTACCCTGGGTAAGAAGTGAAAATACCTTGTAAAACATAAGAGCTACCCTGAATAAGAAGTGAAAATACCTTGTGAAACATAAGAGCTACCCTGAGTAAGAAGTGAAAATATCTTGTGAAACATAAGAGCAACAATGAGTAAGAAGTGAATATACCTTGTGAAACATAAGAGCTACCCTGAGTAAGAAGTGAAAATACCTTGTGAAACATAAGAGCTACCCTGGGTAACAAGTGAAAATACCTTGTGAAACATAAGAGCTACCCTGAGTAAGAAGTGAATATACCTTGTGAAACATAAGAGCTACCCTGAGTAAGAAGTGAAAATAACTCGTGAAACATAAGAGCTACCCTGAGTAAGAAGTGAAAATACCTTGTGAAACATAAGAGCTACCCTGGGTAAGAAGTGAAAATACCTTGTGAAACATAAGAGCTACCCTGAGTAAGAAGTGAAAATACCTTGTGAAACATAAGAGCTACCCTGAGTAAGAAGTGAAAATACCTTGTGAAACATAGGAGCTACCCTGGGTAAGAAGTGAAAATACCTCGTGAAACATAAGAGCTACCCTGAGTAAGAAGTGAAAATACCTTGTGAAACATAAGAGCTACCCTGGGTAAGAAGTTAAAATACCTTGTTCAACATAAGAGCTACCCTGAGTAAGAAGTTAAAATACCTTGTGAAACATAAGAGCTACCCTGAGTAAGAAGTTAAAATACCTTGTGAAACATAAGAGCTACCCTGAGTAAGAAGTGAAAATACCTTGTGAAACATAAGAGCTACCCTGAGTAAGAAGTTAAAATACCTTGTGAAACATAAGAGCTACCCTGAGTAAGAAGTGAAAATACCTTGTGAAACATAAGAGCTACCCTGAGTAAGAAGTGAAAATACCTTGTGAAACATAAGAGCTACCCTGGGTAAGAAGTTAAAATACCTTGTGAAACATAAGAGCTACCCTGAGTAAGAAGTGAAAATACCTTGTGAAACATAAGAGCTACCCTGAGTAAGAAATGAAATACCTTGTGAAACATAAGAGCTACCCTGCGTAACAAGTGAAAATACCTTGTGAAACATAAGAGCTACCCTGAGTAAGAAGTTAAAATACCTTGTGAAACATAAGAGCTACCCTGAGTAAGAAATGAAATACCTTGTGAAACATAAGAGCTACCCTGCGTAACAAGTGAAAATACCTTGTGAAACATAAGAGCTACCCTGGGTAAGAAGTGAAAATACCTTGTGAAACATAAGAGCTACCCTGAGTAAGAAGTTAAAATACCTTGTGAAACATAAGAGCTACCCTGAGTAAGAAGTGAAAATACCTTGTGAAACATAAGAGCTACCCTGAGTAAGAAGTTAAAATACCTTGTGAAACATAAGAGCTACCCTGGGTAAGACTCCTGTAAGTTTCTCTACATTCCAACAGTTCATTTTCAGCTCTCTTTATGAGACCATGTTCATGAAACCCCATCTCCCTGTCATCCCAGAGTCCTGGTGCTACCTTGTGTAACTTCTTAGATCCCTTCTGTCCTGTAAAAAAGCAGTGGTCAGGGTGAGTCCTGGGGCTACCTTGTGTAACTTCTTAGATCCCTTCTGTCCTGTAAAAGCAGTGGTCAGGGCGGGTGAGACGGTTACAGGGTATAAAGTGAGACTAGAGTAGGTTCCCACAGTTTGCTGTTATATAGTAGTGTTGAAAGTATTAAAATTAAAATATTTAATAAAAGTATTAAAATAATTTGAGATCATAAATACGATGTAGTTACATTGAAACGTCGAGTAAACTCCTTTTCCTAATAAGAGCATTTTTACTTGTCGCAGTAACCGGGATAAAGATAATTTTACACAGAATACATAACAACAATGCGACTTATAAACAATACTCCAATCCGGATTAATAATTACACCATACATTGACTATCCCTTCTGGCTAGTCCCAACCTTTGTACTCAACAAGAGAGCACACCACCCGTTAGTGCCAACCAATCCATACCACATAACCCTATTCCGTACATTAACTATCCCTTCTGGCTACATCAGAAGGTATCTGCTGTTAACAAATATGCGACTGTGTTAATGCGTATTGCGTAGTACATTGCATGTAAGTAGTTAGATAAAATGAACATTTAATGGATTATCTAGAACTTTTAGAGACACTCGTTCATTCCTGGAGACTCTCTATTTCAACCTTTATCCAAAAGATTCCATCCCTTCAGAAAAGCAATGTTGAATAAAGGATGCTATCAGAAACTCAATAAACGATTCCTTTGAAACTAATTCTTAAATAATTAAAAATGGTTTGAAACACCAAGATTCCGGCTATAAACTTTCATATTTTTGGACTCAAACCGAAATCGAAATAACTTGGATGGTGATAATTTTGCTGAAGAAAAATAAATCAATTCATATAACTAGCTTTCACACTAATTAGCTGCATTTCAATATTGCAATATTACTAGTTTGTCAGCACAACGCCTGTACATTGTTACCATAACACAGTACATTAGTAAATGGACAACGGGCTTATAATAAAATATTTGGAACCACCAGGGCTCAACCATTCATGGAATCTTCAGGAACATTTTAATATTCCGATCTGTCATTGAAGCCGAATAAATATGCCAATACAAGTGAGGTGTAATAGTGTGAACCAGCGACTTACTTGAGTGAATGCGGTGGCAGTGAACAATTACAAGCAATAAATATCGCATACCAAGTAATAGTATCTACTGTTTAGTACGGTACATTCCACTGCCAGGCGGGAATTTAACAGTGAACTGGCATCACGTGACTAAAGAAGCCTGGTATCACATTTAACACAGAGCCGCTGAAATCATACATCACAGGCCTTGTGAGGTTGCAGACCCTTCCAGAACATCTAGAAGCAATATCATACCATGTCTATGTTGTTCATTATATCTAAACAGCTGATTCAATGAAATCAAGGAGAGACATGAGTTTGGTGTTGTTGGATATAAGTTAATAAATATACCTAGCTGAGGGTTAGTAAGGTTACTTATAGTTGACTGTCATTTAATTATTATTTCAACAGCTGTTTTCTTCTCGCTAGACAAGAAAAGACAGTTAAATTTATAAACTCGTTTCCTGTCAACAGAAATTTATAACCAAATTAATAAATTCACACCACTCTTTTTAGTGCACGCTTGGATTTACACGTCTGAAATAAAAAGAAGTGTCTAGATTTTAGATAACTTAGGTAGGTTATGATTTAGTTGACTTTGGTAACTATGTGCTAAAAGTTACAACGCTGAATAGCGAATAACGGGTGATAACAAGAAATGGAAATTTTGTAAAATCCTTTTGTCGGGTCGATTAATTCATTTGTGGTCAAAATCAATGAAACAGTGTTAAAATTAGACAACTTAGGTCTAGGTTATAATTTAGTTGACTTTGGTAACTATGTGTTAAAAGTTACAACGCTGAATAGTGAATAACGGGCGATAACAAAAAATGGAATTTTTTTTCAAATCCTTTTATCGGGTCGATCAATTCATTTGTGGTCAAAATCAATGAAACAGTGTTAAAATTAGACAACTTAGGTCTAGGTTATAATTTAGTTGACTTTGGTAACTATGTGTTAAAAGTTACAACGCTGAATAGTGAATAACGGGTGATGACAAAAAATGGAAATTTTTTCAAATCCTTTTATCGGGTCGATCAATTAATTTGTGGTCAAAATCAATGAAACAGTGTCAAAATTTGGACAATTTTGAACAGAAATAGTCAATGGCAAACACTCAGAAGCCCCTTGCGGGAGGAACAGAACAATCTCTTTCTTACAGTCACTGAAGCGGCTTGTACAGTTTACTGAAATTTGGAAAAGCCAACGTAACGACTGGCGAAGCTTCTAAAAAAGTTCTATTTTTTGTCATCACCCGTTATATCACATTTGTAGTGAAACTTAACTCTGATTACTGATTATACAATGAACATCACTGCGTCATTTTTTGATCCCACAAACCGCCTTATAGAGGGGGAATACAGCATTAGTGAAATCTCCCCGCTTTTTGCTGCTATATCTATGATATATGATAATAGTACTATGTTTACAGTATGCACTGAAGGGGTATCCTAGGAAGTTTCTTGAACTTTTAACAGGTACCCCTTCTCATTTAACCCTCAATTAAGTTTCCTATCATTCGGCTGAGTCGACCGAGGAGATCGCATAGATCCAATGGATCCTTAGCTAATCCCTAGACTAGAAGACACTGAGATTCGAACCCTGAACCTTCTGCGCAGAAGGCGGATGCTCTCACCAGAAGGCCACCTAGGCCACCTAAGATTATACATCATAGAATCAACCTCGGGCTATAATTCTAACACCCAATCTCGCCCCCTCCCCCCTCCGTAATCAGTTTTATACATAGCTATTGTGTCAAAATTACACTAGCGTAATCATTTGGAAACCCCCTCTCCCCCCTCGGCTAATTACGTAATATATATGTGAACGACCTAGCGTAAGTACATAATCAGATTTCTTGTGCTTTATCCAATGTGGTAATGGTATAAAATATACCGTACTCTTACAATCCAAATCTATAAACTGCAATACGCAGTGAGTAACCAAGTAACCAAGTAACCAAGTAACGCAGTGAGTAACCAAGTAACCGAGTAACCGAGAAACCAAGTAACCAAGTAACGCAGTGAGTAACCAAGTAACCGAGTAACCGAGAAACCAAGTAGCCAAGTAACGCAGTGAGTAACCAAGGCGCCGTGGTAGCAGCTCAATTGCCATTAAACTATGTATCCCAAAAATCGCGTTGTAGAAGGGAAGTGTGATTTCAATAGACTTCACTTCAAACAAAGAATTGCTTGTGCTCCAGTATTCTTTTCAAACAATGCTGTCATTTAAAATCAAATATTGTTCTTTGACTTTATGGAGCAAATATGGTGTAAACAGAACGCAGTATTATCTGTCTATCTGATCTAAATATAATACAGGACTATTTGACATTTCTAGATTTTAATGTTGTAGCTAACCTTTTTAGTTCTCACCTGATTTCTGGGATGAGCTTTTGATTTTTTACTATGAACTTTTTAATAACTCCAATTGTTTAAATTCGATGCTTTACCAATGAGTTAATACTTTTAAGTATCAGAAAATGCTCTCATTACTGTCTTGTAATTTCATTGCATAATTCATACCTCCTGTTGACTGTTGAATTTATAATAATTTTGTGATCATGGTGTTGAAAATGTATGGACAAAAAGCATCCTTTTGTTGATCTTACTAGCAGGTAAAATTCCGGTTTGGTGAAAATAATTACAGCAGTTTGTTGTAAGTTGACATTTGAATTATTATTATTAACAAGATACAAATATATAATAATAAATTTCCAGGGAAATCATGGCCCATTCAACGGGAAGAGTATTATTAGACTATTCGGTTTTCAAGTTTGGATTTCAAGGTGAAGGATACTTCAGTTAAGTCCTCAGCATTACTGGAACTCTGGCTAATTCAGCCTCCTTAACCGTACTTCATAAAGAAGGAAGAAAAAAGTATTGGCGATAAACTACTGATGCTGCTGAATAGCATAGATCTACTACTCTGCATTACTGCAACAACAGTTGCCTGCCTTATCTCAACATTTCATTCACGCGAAGATATCGGTCGACCACTAATCTATGTAACTATTCTGTTGTTTGCAATTTACATACTTCTTATAAATGGGACAGCTTTGTGACTTGTTTACTTAGCGTAACAAGAGGAATAGGTATTGCTTTTCCTTTCTATCGGATAAAGGGCAAGTTACTTGTAAAGGTAGGAATGGTGGTGTTTGTCATGATGGAGTTGAGTGGCATTTTAATCACAATTGTCCCAACTATTTCTAGACAGGATACTAGTCCTGCAGATTCAATTAAAAATATTTTGAACGGAATTTTGATTTCCCAGATAGGGATGGGTTCACTGATGATACTAGTGGTGGTGTCTGCTACTGTTGTAGCTGTTTACAAGCTAACTAGAGAAGATCTCCAAGGTGCAGCAGCAAGGGCGGACAGAAACAACAGGAAAGCTACATGGACAGTGGTTATCCTCTCAACACTCTTCTTTGTTTTTAAGTATCTCAACATTTCATTCACTCGAAGATGTCGGTCGACCACTAATCTATGTAACTATTCTGTTGTTTGCCATTTACATTATCGTCAAGATTTTTTGGAAAAATCGTCAAAAAATGAGGTCCAAGATTTTCAAAATTGAATAAAAAATCTTCTAAGGCCTATCTCAAAATTCGGCTCGACAGATATCTTCTAAATGATCCATAGAACATATCCTGAAAGTTTCAGGGTGATTGCTCAAAAAATGTAGGAGAAGATAGATTTTTAGACTCGATTTTCAGGGCGCGCGATTGAAAATCGCTCGCGCAATACAATTACACATAAGCGCTGACCTTTGACTGGCGATAATTTTGGCTAGGAACAATATTTTTCCATGGGACCAAAAGCAGCTGATAGATATCACTCCCCTCTATCAGAAACAACTATAAAATCAATTTCGAGATAATTTTGATGAAGACCCCGGCCCCCCCCCCCCGGCCCCCTTAACTCCGTCTTACTGGCAGCTACGGTCGTTTTTCTATCAATTATTAATAATCTTATTGATAATATTAGAAATGATATATTTATAGAACCGAGTGCATTCAATTTCTCCTTTGCTTTCTCTGGGTTATTCCTTGCAATCCCCTGTAATTCTGCAGTGAATCCAATTGTTTATTTAGTTCGAAAAAGTGATATGCGACAGTTCTTCAGTGAACGTTTACCAAAGCTGTCGAACATTTGCATTATGCAGTGAAAACTGAAACGGGCTACTTGGGAACTTCAGTGAAAACTTTCTCCATTTACTAAATTTTGTTTTCATTTACTAAATGTTCTTTTATGGGCTTTACGTATTCAATATCAATTCTTTCTTAATATTTTATTTATAAACCATGCAAGTGTCGATTGTGATTTGAGAATTTAACTTTTTAAATTCTTATAACAGATAGCTATTGTATGATAGTTAATTATGACGATTTGCATAATATGTTAAAAAGAGTGTTCTATAATCTATAGAGCAAGACAATTGAGGGGGGACCAGACGTCATTTTGTCCCTGCCATTTCAAACAAATTTTTAGACATCGAAGATTTTGGCGAGGTTAATATATACCATGATTAGGCGGGGGCCTAAAACGTTAAGACACATGTGTGGCTAAGTATTTGGGTTGAAATGTCACGACAATTTCAGAGACCTAGATGTCTAACACCAAACATTGCATTGGTGAATAAGTGTGATGTCTTGTAATCTACACAGAAAGTTTTTCTTTTCCTACAACTGAAAGGCAGTGTTTTATTGAGTTTTGATAAAACCAAGTTTCATGAAAATCAAGATAAACCCTCTTAAATCTTAATTGCTACTACATACTAGTGAGTGCGTAAAGATAGGGTGCGGCATCTGAAACTGAACAACCTGAAGTCCGAAGACTTTAAAACCACTCAATATGATCATTCTGATCATTTTAATAGGCATGGAGTCAGCCGGCAGCCCAAATATCGACTAATATCGATCGGTCGATATTAGTCGCCTTAAGTCGACCATGGCCTAGTATAATATTTAAAATAAGTCAACAGGTATTGCGGCATGTTGACATTAACCTTTAAATACTGAAAATATGTAGTATTAATAATGTGTTAAATAATGATGTGTTATATAATGTATACAGTAATGTTGGTCTCCAGTAAATGCCACCCTGGTATATTCTGTAGACTAATTCGACCAGCAGCCCGTACTATGTTCAATTAGGGTAACACCATGATCTTATCACCTGGCAACGCTATCCAAAACTAATTAATCTGTTAAGTGGTGTGCAGCGCCACATTAGTAGGTTCTAAGTTACGTGTAATATCCGGATCCGAACATTATTTAATAATCGCATTGTTGTTATGTAATTTTTCTGGGGAAAAATTTGTAGTGTTCCCGTTATTGCGACAAGGAAAAGGCTCTTATCAGGATAAGAGACTGCTTCAACATTTTAGAAAACGTTGATGATAAATAAAAGCCATTATGTGCTAGTTGTTTCATGGTAAAGTTTAAGGGGCTGACGAAAGAGTACATACCCACAGACGACACACATTCTTGTGTAACAGTTTTGCTTTAATATTGGCAGCTTTGACTTTATAAGATATTAAAAACAGTAGACTATCTAGTCTATTAATAGATTTTCAATTGTGGGAGGTGATAGTGGTTAACCAAATAACTTGTCGAATCCCAGAATATTGGACAAATTAATCAAATACGTGTTATAATTAGATATTAATTAATAAATTACTAATAAATAAATTACTTATCGATTAAATATTTTATAAATTAATTAATTACCAGATATTTTGTCGGGGGTGTACTCAGAGTACTGCAGTTTCCCGTACTTCATTAGATTGTAGAGCGGTGCGTTAGGGACTGTGTTAAAGTCCCCACAGAAAATAACGGGTACTCCGCCACATTGCTGTAGGGGGTTTACCTGGACAAGATCTAGATTTAGTTATCAATAATCAATATGATATGATATAGTCAGATACAGGCATTAGTTAAGAACTATTGTAAAATAAAGTATTTTATTAGTTAGTGGAGACGTGTATACAAAGTATGCACTATGCAGTATGCAGATGTATGGTACAATTTACTTTAAAAGTCTACAATTACTACAACATGATATGTGGCTATCAAAAAGATAAATATTTATCTAAACACATTTGTATTTTATCACATTTGTATTTTATCACATTTGATAGCATATTTAAAAGCAGGACAAATTACAAACTGTCTTACATTCGTAGTATGTCGTCACTCACGTGCAAAAATATACATACATAATATCCAATAAATCCATTAACTTAAAAGCTTGGTTATAACTGTGCCATTAACATAATGAAACTCAGCAGCGTTTAGTCAAGATTACATCCCAGATACTCACTGGAAAGTGGAAAAGTATGCTTGAAAATATATCGGTAACTCCATGAGGTAAACCAAAGAACAACTCACAACTTGTTGAATGTGATGGAGGATGAGACTAAGTTGAGTAAGCTTTATATCACCCCGTCTTGGGTTGTACAATAGGTGCGTGTTAGCTACACATAACTGTGATCCATCTGATGGAGGGAGAAAGAGGGGTTGTTAGTTAATAGTTATTATGGGGACTGCACTGCAAACTTTTGGTTTTGGACGTCTAGAAAATATTTGCTTCACAAGGTTAATACAGTGTGAACGGTAGAATAGTGAAGGTTTACCACAGTGTCACAGAGACACATAACCACCATATGCATGGTGTATCTGTTATCTAGGGACCGCATGGTAACTGTACTAGACATTATGGTGCACATTATCCCAATGTGGTCATCATAATGTTAATAAACAGGAGGTGACCGGGATTGGTAATTTTGAGCTATCCCGGTCTCGGTCAACCGGGTCAAGTCACATTTTTCATCCCGGTCGCGGTCCCGGTCCCAGTCAAATGCTGATTTATGATCCCGGTCCCGGTCCCGGTTAATTCAGGATTCTTTGTCCCGGTCCCGGTCAATCACTCAAATTTGCCGGGATTTTGACCGGGATCTTTTACATAATTTCATTCACTGTGATTTTAAGTTTTTACTTTCATTCATTGTGAATTTCATCTTTAAACAACCTCTGAGCCAAATAAAACAATGTTTAAAATTGCTAAACAAGTTTAGGTAACTAATATCGTTACATAACTCATAAGTGCAAACTAACATCAAGTTTTCAACTCGGGCTACGCCCAATTGTCAATTGGAATTGGAGAATGAAACTGTTGAATAATTTGAGAGATCATTGATTGAGGAATGATGAATGAGGGTGAACTTGAGTAATCAGTACATGAACATTATTGGTGTACCTAGTACATTATTATTATTAGCCCCATGCCCCATATTGACGGGTTTTTTCTAGTTTTTTCTAATTTAATATTCTAGTTATTACTTATTCAAATTGTTCAATTATAATGTAAATGAAAGTTGCAGCTTTCAATATGAGAATACCAGTTTTGGTCCCGGTCATCCCGGTCATCCCGGTCAAATCCCGGTCATCCCCGTAAAATTGGATTGTTGGTCCCGGTCCCGGTAAGATAGAAATCCCAGAAATTATTGGTCCCGGTCCCGGTCCCAGTCAAGTCACATTTTGTATCCCAGTCCCGGTCCCGGTCCCGGTCCCGGTCAGGCCTAAAATCATGTCCCGGTCACCTCCTGTTAATAAATAATTATCTGCTTATTAATGTCTTGTTGGGCAATGTTTTTCCGTACCTTGACATTCAAAAAGTGCGATTTGAGCACAATTTGGTTTATCAAGTAATCCCTCAGTGTCTTTGTAGAGGCCTAAACTGGCGTTTTTAATAAGCTTGAACTTGTCTCTTTTGTACATCATAAAACATCCGTCATCTTTTTCTTGATAAGGTATGTGCGGTTTTCTTTGATAGATGTTTTCAAAACCTGAGCAAAAAGTCTAGATTATATCAATTTAATAAAATAAATCATTTTTCAAAAAAACGATTATTTATTTTTACAGTACAATAAAACAATATCAATGTACAGGTCATGCAGCAGCTGCTGCTTAACAATAAACATTGTAATATGGTATTCACTCCTTATATGGGCATCACGTGTAATATGGTATTCAATCAGTGGAGGCTTGAGAATGTTTCAAGCTCGACCTGTGCTTGAAACCAGCTCAACCATCCACCATGTCAAATGTCAATATACGAATATAAAAATATAAGAATATTTAAATATGAAAATACTTCAACAAGCTAATTTTTATTCTTGAAAACTTCTAGGTGTAATTTGGTGACACAGGAGAGCCCAGTAGAGTTTTAGTTTAAGTTTAAATTTAAGTTTAAGAAGAGTATTTTCTTGAGTAAATTTCTATTGATCCCGTTTTATGTGACAAGGAAAAGGCTCTTATCAGGAAACGGGATTAATAGAAATTTTATCCAAGAAAAAATGTCAACTATGCGACTCATAAATAATTTTTTTATTTTTTTTAATTTGAAAATTCAATTAATCATTATATATATAAATCAAGCGTTACATTTCAGCCATGCAAAGTTACAATGACATATTTTGATATACTAAATGATAAATGGTACTGCAATATAAGTTGCTTAATGTTTGGCCGGATGACAACTAACGAGAAAAATAAACTTGATTATATAATAATTAATTCGGCTGAACCAACACATAGCAAGAGCCACATTAACGTTGGGGCCGTCTACCAAATTTGAATGACAAACATTAACAAGTAATCAAACATATCATAAATAATTATAAAGATTTTGTTCATTACAATTCCGTCACAACTGATAAGAAAAAAGAAAAGGACAAGCAGATAGGAAATTGGACGGACAGAATTGTAACCAACAAAAACAAATTTCTTAGACTCATAAGACTGATGAGCTAATCTGGCCAGACTGTATCGGCAGCCCAGAGGTACTTGATCAGTTTGGCCTTAAAAGTAGAAATCCGCTCTGACTGCCGGATACATACTGGTAGACTATTCCATTTCAGCATAGATCTATATGAAAAAAGCTATTTCGGAAGGCATCCGAGCAGGGCACAGTGGTACTCATGTAAGTTGAAGTATCCGACCTATCAATTATTTGAGCATTGTGTCTAGTGTATCGGGTGCCCTCTGGACGGCATAGGACTATATATGTAGGGAGCGAAACTGGAATTATGCTATTCACTATTTTATAGAAGGTCATAAGATCGTTATAAATAAACTTCTGTTCAACAGGGAGAATATTTAGTTTCTTTTGCTCTGTAGCAAGTTTATCGTCATTATAACTGGAGTAAGGTTCACCATTGATCCATTTAATAGCCCTCTTTTGGATAGCAACAAACTGTTGAAGATGAGTTGCAGATTGAGGGGACCATATGACAGAACAATGTTCAAATATAGACCTAATTATCGCTAAATAGAACGATCTTTTCTGCCTTTTATCAGTAGTGAAATGACATGTTCTTTTAAGTAGTCCAAGTCTAGAGGTAGCTTAGGAAACAAGCGCTTTACATTGTGCACCCCAATTAAACCTGGAGTTTATTGCGACTCCTAAATCTGACTGAGAGGGCACAAAGTCAATATCACTTCCAGAAAGTTTATAAAAGAAGGTATTGAATGGCAAGTTATCCAGCACGTTTCTTTGCAGGGACACAGAGAGGGCTTTGCACTTTTGTGGGTGGAACTTTTAAAATTATTATTAGCCAAATTATCCCGGTCATCATGTATTTACCGGTGGCCGACCTTTCAAGTTTTTTTTCAGAGGTCAACAAATTTTCAACCGAAATTTCTGTTTTTGTTACTTGTTAAAGAAGTTATTTCAATTTACAGTTACTGATATTACTCAGAAATAGAAAAAAAGACACGTCTAGTATTTAAAGGAAAATAAATCTATAGCAATAATAAGTCAAATCTTCATTAAAGCGTATTCTCATTCTCATTATCGCTAATGTCCCCTCCATTATCATTATTGATATCCCCCTGCTGCTGACCGTCAAATTCGAAGTTGTAATTGTATTGTTGTCTTAACAAGACTTTCATTTTGTCCGCTAATGGGGCTACTGCTCTGAAGGTCAGCCGGAGCTTAATTTCCTGCCCACCGCTTGGTATTGGGGAACGTCTTGGCTTTGCATCTTCAACTGCTCCAGTAATCAATCCACCGTGGACCATGAAATAGTGGCACAGTTTACTCACTTCATGGGCAAGAAAATTGAGAATCACGGTCCACCCTGAAATCTGATTTCTATAACCAAATTGTGATTTTTATAACGAAATTATGGTAGCAACCGCCAATAAAGTTACAGCCCTCCATCCACTGCTTCAAAAGTCTTCTCTGGCACATATGAGACTTCAGGTAAAATATGATGATCACCACCCCCTTGGAACCCCATAATCTGAGTCGGCGGGTTTTTTTATGACTGGTAAAATTTTTAACCGGGAAAAATATGGCGGAATCTTCCAAAACCCACCACTTTATCCCGGTTATAATAATCCCGAGTAAGGTAACTAAGAATCTCCCTCCAAATTTTAGTGTCATCTGCATAAAGGGCAATATTGGTGCCTTCAGAGACACAGGAGAACATGTCATTTATAAATATTACAAACAATAAAGGGCCAAGTATAGAACCTTGAGGGACACCAGACCGAACTGGTAGAGAAGAAGACGTTTGGCCTCCTATCACTACTTGTTGTTGTCGCCCCTCAAGATAGGACTTAATAAATTTAAGCATTAGTCCATCGACATTAAAAATATTCTTTAATTTACTTAAAATAAGGTCATGCGAAACGCTATCAAAAGCTTTCGCAAAATCAAAATATATTATATCAGTCCTGGACCTGTTATTCAATGCAAGTGCAAGATTGTCCGTGAAAGGTATAATTTGGGTTGTGCATGAACGTTCATTAACAAAACCGTGTTGTCGGTCATCCAACAGATCAGAGCATGCAGCGTATAATGCAGTCTTTATGCACCTTTCAAAGACTTTCATTACAAGAGATGTTAACGAGATAGGCCTGTAGTTCTCAACCGAAGACTTATCGCCCTTTTTGTGCACTGGTACTACAAATATTCCAATCCGGATTTTACAGAGTGTTATGTTTCATTTCAGAGAGAGATATCTTGATTCTTGGATTGCATAACCGTAGCGGATGTAGAATGCAATATAATATGTTTACCATATAGTTGGGTCCCCTGACTTACATTCAGAGATGCATCAATTGTCTTTGATACAACTCCGAAATTTATCAAAATGGTTCTGACATTTGAAACTATCAGGACATTTCCAATTACCATAGACTTTAGCAACAAAGAGGGATTCAAACATAAAACTTACTATCCCATAATCTTCTCGAAACACCTACCTCTTGGAGCGAAGTGGGATGCAAATTTAGCTCTGATCTGGTGGTCAAACTCCTGCAGACAAACAATCTGATGGAAGAATGATTATTAGTGTTTACAGTTAATATATGTATCTTAGAATAAGTTGGTGGACGGTGGTATACTTGGAAAGGGGGTGCAATAGAAACTAAAATATAACTCTTCAACTTGAATAACAAATTTAGATTTTGTTGATTAACCTATCATGGGAAGATCACATCAAAGCTCTTAAGCGAACTCTAAATCATTCCACATCCACTTTATGTAGACTCCGCTGCTCCCTTCCAGAATTTCTACACCAACAATTATATTATACCCTGTTCGAATCACATCTTTCCTACTGTATATCTGTATGGGGTGGGGCAGCGAAGCAACGTATAAGCTCATTATTTACTGCTCAGAAGTACTGTCTCAGAGTACTATTTGGTGATAGACTGGCGTACCTTGATAAGTTTAAGACTTGTGCACGTACTAGGCCTATAGGACACCAGAAACTAGACCAAAAATTCTTCATAAAAGAGCACACCAAACCGATATTCAAGCATAATAATATTCTAGCTATACAAAATCTATATACATACCACAGTTACCTCGAGCTCTACAAGATAATGAAATTCCGTGCTCCAATATCCTTACATGAGGGTTACACATGTTCATCAAGGAAACCCTGCCTTCTAATCTGTCAGGCAGACCCACCTGACAATCACAACACTAGATCAACCAAAATTTTTAACATCTTAACCCCAAAGTTCAGAATGACTGATTTTACTACTAGTGTAATGTGCTTGCGAGGAAAGCTAAAACGTGCGCTACTAGCTAATCAACATAACCACGCCCTGCTTGATTGGACCGTAAAAGACTTTGACTGCACAAATATTATTTTCCAAACATTATAACTGGCTGGTCACACACATCTAAATTAAATTACCCTAGGCTACTGTTTTCCAAGTCTTGTCCTGTGAGTAAAGTACGTGTGAGAAAGTTTTAATAAAATGAATGTATATTTTTGAATTTTTAAATTTTAATTTGAGAATGAAGTATAAAGAAATTTTTAATTAGCATTGTATAGTTTAAAATATTTATAGCTTATTATAACCATTGATAAATTTAAGCCATAATCTTTCGCCTGCTCTCCAATATCCACCTTGAAGGTGCATTTTTAATCCTTGAACTACACAATATAAAATCAAGCATGTTTTAGTGTAGACTTTTTGTCACAACAAGACTGCAACCTAGATAGTAAAAACTTTAAACAGAACCCCTAATGTCTGCTAACAATTTTTCGTATAGTCCTAATGTGAGCCTTGTCTCTAAAAACTTAACTGAACTAGCGTTTTGGTGTGTGCAAAAGCTCCCAGGCACGCGCATTCCTTGCCCCGTTAGTTACCTGTCCTTCCAAAACCAAACAAGCAGTCAAGGACAAAAAGTCATACACCAAATGGGCATTATATTTTATGAATTGTTTTACATCTTTTTATTCTGTAAAATGTGCTAAAATTAAATTTCTTGTTTCATTGAAATTTCTTGTTTCATTGAACTAGTTATAATTATCAAGTTTTTGTAAAGAACTCACATCAGGATCATATAATTCTAGCTCTTTAATGATTTGTTGAAATCTTTGTGATTTTAAATACTCGTTTTTGATACTTCTGTATAGGTAACTGAGTGGGATTTAAGGTTATTGATCATCAATAAAATATAATTTCCAATCATTACACTGATAAAAAAATTGATTAACATTGTGATCGAGATCAAACAAAGTATCAAACAAAGTATCAAACAAAGTACCGAAGAGAATTGATACTTATCATGACCTACTACACTGCAACAATAGAATTTGAAACCAACAACACTCACCATAACCTTACCTGTTATTTTCCAGTAGTAACTGGCTTAGAATGTTGTAGGACACGACAGAAAATTCAAATTTTTTGTTGTGACGTTTCCAGGGAATTGTTGCGGGAGAAATGTGACGCCAGAATCTTGATAATGCATGCTGATTCCACCTGAATAAGGCAAATGAACTCATTCATTACAAACACGATTGGACAAACAGCAGGATAAATTTACATGTTCAATAAGACATGTGTAAGACATGCACATTAATAGGGCACAGTTTTAACCTAACATTTCAAAACTGATATCATAGATAAAGCCAATAGCTATCACATGACCAATAAATAGCTTAGAAATACGCGCAATCTTAAGCAGGAGACAATATGCAAATACTGCAAAGAGGAACACAGAAAAATGCTGATTTGGTCTGCAAGCCATGATTCACACATTTACTCAACTAACATTGCTCAATACAGATGGTGATACTCCGTTTCGTTTACCTTTGCTGACATTCATCTTCAGGTTGAGGCTTTGGGAATCTTACTGTATCACTATTGTTCATATCAGCATCTGATAATATGGTATGCAAATAATTTAACAGAAATCTAAGCAGAGGAAATAAAGGATACAACAATATAAGGATGAAAAAATGATAGTTATTTTTAATGAGTATGCACATTAGTCTTGATCCTGAAACAATTTACGATCTAGCTAAATACAATTACAATTATTTAATGCTTGCATACGAAGAAATCGAATATCTAGGGTTCAATTTTCTCATTGAAACAAACAGTTAATGTTGGTAGTTGGTCAAAACAGATAGGATGGATAATGGTGAAGGGCAGACAAAAAAGTCGAGATAACACATAAGATCCTATACTGTACGTCCAATACTGTATGGTGTTGTGGATCAATAAATGCCTTTCAGTCTGATGACAACATCAAAGATTTGATTTCGAAAGTCGGACAGTAAAAAAAAGGGGAGACCCCAACCCATGTAACCGAGACATCTCACAGCAAGTAGACCAAAGTGGCTTTTACTTATGAAAGGTACATCAACTACCCGCTGAAGCGGTGGGTTGGGGGTCCCCCCTAGCTGGGATCATTTGTCCGTAAAATTATACACAATATAAAAACTACAATTAGTCAGACAATACGAAATGTCCAGGTTACGCAATGGAAACAATTGCTTGGTGGATCTGTTTTAACCAACATGTATTGCACCTTAACTGGTGTTTTGCAAAATGCTAGGAGAGATTAGTATAGGCATGTAAGTGGTAAGGACGAGGATAGGATTCGCAGAACGAATCTTGTTGCTCTACGTGGTTACAGAGGCAAGGAGATGATGGATGAACAACAAGAATGAGACCCCTCTTTAATATAATATAAGTCTCCTACAACCTCATCCCTGACCCTATTGTGGAGTTAGTGTTTTCAAAATTAATGTCGTTGTAAAAATATTATTGAAATTTCAAATAATATTGGTGGCATGGCAATGTAATTGACCATTTCTGTTGCCCGCGTAATATATTGTACTCTGCCGATTGTAACAATGTAACATTTGATGTCTGTGTATGGTGTTAAGTGTACAATCAAGGAAGCTCTCACAATATTTTGAATTAGTGAGCTCATCATTAAATATACTTAATCACAGTTTTGAAACAACTATTTTAGTAATATCACTGTACCCGTAAAAATCAATTTACAAATATTTTAAATAAATATTATATTAATCACTGGCCGGTTTGGGTTTGCAGATAAATGAACAATAAAACTTTTTTGGGAAAACAGTACAGTATATAATGTATGAATAATTTTAATAATATGTACTCAATCCTTAATTGCAGCTTAGCGCGGCGCGGTCCAGTGGTGCATCGTTGTAGCGCGATGCGTTACTGTGCCGCGCCGCGCACTCAATGAGGCTTCTCACAGATAGATCGGCGAGATGCGTTGACCATTGTTAATGGTCTGGCTCGGCGAGCGCTAATTCGTAGCACTTGCCGTCGGGAATAAAGCGGCGCGCGTTACTTTGAAGAAATTTAGACGAGTAACCTCCATCAACGAAATGCGCTACTGTGCCTCGCCGAGCTGCGATGAATTGACATCGTCAATTAAGTGCATCGCGACAATTTAATGCGCTACAAAACTTAAATATTCGTATATTGCACTTGCAACAATGCAACACTATACACTGCTCATGGATACGTGGCGCCGCGCACGCGCATTAAATAATGATAATTTTAGCGCGTTAACGGATAATAGCCGTAAAATATTTGTTTCGATATATTCCATGAGACGGTCGACGAGTCCAATTCAATTTATCGCTGCGCGTTTTAGTAGCTTTTTGACTTACCTAGCTTGCTAGTTGTTTATTGCTTAAAGAAATATATATATATAATATATATATAATAAATAATTGAATTTTCAATACTTTCAACACTACTATATAACAAATAATTTGAGTGTTCAGGAATGGTATGTTACAACTCCCCCGAAGGGGCGTACTAAGCTAAGGGTCATCTACATTCTACACTCTATTAGGGTCATCTACACTTTACTAGGGTCATCAACTCTGAAGTCCTAATCTCCTCCAAAACAAAACACTTAACGGGAGCCGACCCCAAGTCGGATCTATTTGGTCAGTATTACTTACATTTGATTTGAAAATGGCGTCAAATTCTAGGAAGACTTCAGGTACTCCTAAAACATCTAATAGCTTGTCTCGCAACATTTTAGCCGAATCTACAGTGGACAATGAAGATCAGGTAAACAGGAAACATAGGGACAAGAAGAAATGTCCATGTCAATGCTCTTTTAACGGTAAAGTTTACCTCATTGACTGTTCTAAGTGTCATCAAGAGTGGCATGTGGACTGCCTGTCTATGAAAGGTATAACGAGGTCAGCTATCAACTCCATGGTAGAATGGCTGTGCCCATACTGCTTCGTGGCACCAGTATCAACACTGAAGAAACAGAGAGACGAATTTTGTTACAGCTGCAGGAACACAAGGGCTTTGCAACAGGCCAACTCAGATTTTGAAGCATCTACAGCTGTTAAGAATCTTGAAACTGTCAGTGCACTTGTGGCATCAGCAAGCTCAGCAGGCTCAGCTCTTGAAAAATTTGACTTCGAACAGTTCTCTAGGAACCTTGACACTCTCTCCCAGTTCGACGTTCACCTTCAACACCTGCTTCTTAAAGAGAACTCCCTTAATGGCCTAAATAATGAAATAAAGCTCCATGACAAATCATTAGAATCAATAAATACCAACATTGCTGAACTACAGAGGGACCTTAAACTTTTAGCATCTAGACCTTCCCCTGAATCATCCCCATCTACAGACTCATCTGAGCAGTTTCTGAAGAGCATCTCAGAACAACTCACCGCACTTTCTGCAAATGAGCCCACTGTAGCTGCAGGCATTGCTGAACTAAAACAGTCTATAAGTTCTATACAGCCATTGCATAACCCTGGTCCTTGCATTCCTCCCAACCTACCTCCTGCACAGCATCCTCGTCCTCCAGCACCACCTGTCCTTTTGCAGCCACCTCATCATGAGCAGAAACCTGTGGAACTGTTCAAAAACGATTTTATAGATCAGAAGACTGCGGAAGAACTAGTTGACCTATTTGATTTGAGCAGCACAGACTTCAAAATTGAAAACGAACGCTCCTGCCTATCATATGGGGAACGGTACGATTATCCTGGATCTAAGTCGTCCAAGACACCAAAGGCAATACCACCACCCTTGAGAAAACTCATCGACAGAATCAACAGTGAGTTTTGTTCAGGTGACCAACCTCAGGTTAACAGCTGTTTGGTAAATAAATAAATAAATAAAGTCAATTTTTACAGCACAGCAATATATATCTAAATATCAGATCCTCTGTAATCATAATGTATAAAAAAAGGAGCTTTTCTCTGTGCTGAAGGATGAATCAAGGCAGATCATGGTTCTGTTAGCAGGCCACCCTAGTTATGGACAATACATATATATAAAATAATTAAATTATAATTTTAAAATTGTGTCAAGATTGAACTAAAACATAACTCAGGGTAAAATAGACGTATTCCCTTCGTCAAATTAACTATTTACAATACTAAACTTAAACGAACTCCGGGTAAAATAAACGTAATCCCTTTGTCAAACTTGCTATTTACAATAAGTTAAAAAATTAATACGGTTGAAAATTATTTCATATTCAATAACAATGTAGCATCAATATAATTGATACAAATGAGGAGCATACATAGCAGTGAGAATTGCACATAACAGGAGGACTGGAGGTATGGAGCAATAATGATTGACAGTGCACCTTTCCACTGATGTTCCTAATTTCCTGTAATAGCTTAATAGGCATGGAAATACTTTGATTGCAGGGGATAGATTGGATTCACTTATGTACTGAGATAACTTAACCGAAATAACATAACTGCCTAGATACATTGGCTAGTGTTGGGTGGGATCATGAATTTATCGTAAGAGTTATCCCCTTGGTAATTCTCATCAGTTAGCACCATATTCATAAGAGTTTCTTTGTATAACTTAGAAAATTTCTTAACGTCGTCACACTCTCTAAGGGACTTTGGTAATATGTTCCAGGCCTTAGTTCCTAGATAGTTAAACTCCTTGTGAGATCTTGATTTAGGAGTATAAAGATTGCAGTTTTCTGCCTCACGTGATCCACCAGAAATATACGAGAATTTCCCGATAAAATGCTTTGGACATGTTTCATTGATTATACGGTACATATATGAGCTAAGATGAACCTGTCGTCTCAAATGGAGAGGAAGCCATCCCATATTTTTGTATACATTAACCGACCTCTCTCTGATGTTTACATCTAGGGCTATTTTAGCAACCTTTTTGTACATGATATCTAACTCTCCTAGTCGTTTTTTATATGTTCTTGACCAGATGGTGTCTAAGTAGTCAAAATGTGGCAACATAAGTGCATTAGCAAACATCTTCCTGAACTTAAGAGGGAGAAGTTTTTTTGATCTATACATAGCACCAATTCTTTTGGATATCTTTTTCTTAATGTTATCAATATGTTCATTAAATGTCAATCTGCTGTCAACTATAAGTCCAAGGTACTTATGGGATTTAGTTTCACAGATTACCAAAGTAAGGTCATCACAAATTTCAACAAGGATGGCATCAAGGTTAGGCTTAGAGTCAAGGATCATTAGTTTTGTTTTTTCATTATTCAGGGATAGTTTATTAGCCTGAAGCCATCTGATAACTAATTTCAACTCTTGTTTGATGTTACCATAGTTTCCTCTAGATATATTGTCAAAATATAATGCACCGTCATCAGCAAATAGATAAGGTTTAGAAAATAGGCATGCATTAGGCAGGTCATTGATAAAAATGCTGAATAGAATTGGTCCTAATATACTTCCTTGAGGCACTCCAGAGTTCAATGAATGTAAACTGCTTATCCTACTCCCAACTCTAGTTTGCTGTAATCTATCTGTGAGGAAGCTCCTAAACCAGCTCAATGCAGTATCTTTTATTCCATAATGCTTCAGCTTTTGAATGAGAATATCATGGTTAACAGTATCAAATGCCTTTCTGATGTCCAGGAAGATAATTGCAGG